TATGATATGCGTGTATATATATATATTTTTTTTAAAAAAAAAAAACAACTGTATAAATCAGAATATCCATAAAATTTTTCGATTTATCAATATGTAATTATAAAACAGTTTAGACGCGATGACATTGAAGATGAAGATTTTGTAGAAAGTTATGTTAATCATATGAAAAAGAAAGGCATTGAGGTTGGAAAAAGCCAACGTCCAATCGAAAAAGATGAGGTATGCTTTCCGTTAAAAATTCAATAATATCTTTGACTAGTCAATCATTATACAAATATTTATATTTTAAATTAGAATGCTAATTCAGATGAAGAGGTCTATGCTACTGCTCGAGCCATTGACGCGCAATACGAGTAAGCTTCAAATAATGGAATTTTTAAAATTCGCTCATTTATTGACTGAATTTTCTATCTATTATTTCTTTCTTTTCAGATATGATTCAGACGACAATCCAGTAATAGAACAAAAGCGTAAAGATGTAGAGCCACTGTCAGCTGTTGGTAAAGAAGTTTCTTAGCACTTATCTCATTTTCAATTGCAAGGATAAACTAATAAGTAAGTTGTTTATTTTGTAGACCATTCTCAAATGGACTATCCTGAAATTGAAAAATTCTTTTATGAAGAACATCCTGATATAGCCAATTTGCCTAAAGAACGTGTTGATCTAATACGAAAAGAACTTGGTAACTTTTATTTATTTATTTGATTTTATTTTAATTAGTTGGCAGACAAAGAAATAATAATACTCAAAATATTTTTACTATGATGATTCAATATAGATATGCATGTTTCGGGAGCTGACGTTTCAAAACCTTGCATTTCATTTGCTCATTTTGGATTTGATGATGCTTTATTAGATGTTATTATTAAACTTGGATATTCAGACCCTACTGGGATTCAAAAACAGGTATCTCGTATTCTATTCGAAATATATCACGTTTTCATCTCATGTATATTTGTTTTAGGCAGTCCCTGTCGCGTTATCAGGTCGAGATATTATAGGCATTGCGAAAACAGGTTATACATGGCACTTTTTTATTTCTAACCGATTCCATGATTAGTTTACTGATTTAGAGGTTTGATTTAAGGTTCCGGTAAAACTGCAGCTTTTATATGGCCGATGTTAATACATATAATGGATCAGGAGGAATTGTCTAAAGGTAAACCACTATAATCCTTCATATTGTTGATATTAAAATATGCACTTTATTTTTATTTATTTTTTTTTAAAAAAAAAAATTGACACTACATAATTTTAGGTGAAGGCCCTATCGGATTGATATTAGCACCTACAAGAGAGCTTGCCAGTCAGATATATATTGAAGCTAAAAAGTTTGCAAAGGCTTATGGTCTGAGGTAGAAATTAACACTATAAATTTTATCTCATGATTGGTAGAATGGAAACATAAGCGATGCACACACTACTCTCTCTGCTTGATTTACACAAATGTAGAGTTGCAGCAGTTTATGGAGGTGCTTCGAAAATGGATCAATTTAAAGAACTGAAACCTGGTGGAATTGAAATCTTAGTCGGTACTCCTGTAAGCAATGAAAATTTTTATGTAAAATTGCAAGGATGAAAAAAAAAAACTTATAATCTTTAATTTTTTAATAGGGAAGACTTATCGATATGGTGAAAATGAAAGCGACAAATTTTCGACGCGTTAGTTTCTTAGTCCTTGATGAAGCCGACCGTATGTTTGATTTGGGATTTGGTAAGTAATTTTTTGTAATTATTCCTTTTCTGAATTTATAAATTATGTTCTAGTAAGATTGAATATAAATATATTTATTAGAGCCGCAAGTGCGATCTATTTGCGACAATATTAGGCCCGATAGGCAAAGTATGCATAAAAATTACATATAATTCGTTCTTTTTAATTTTATATCACACTTTTCAACTTGAATTAATATTTCATAATTTCTTTAGCATTGTTATTTAGTGCCACATTTCCTAAAAAAGTAGAGATCCTAGCCCGAGAAGTGACAACAGAACCTGTGAGAATTTCGATTGGATATGTTGGACAAGTACAATTTAATTATTTTATAGATTTTTCATCTTTTTACTATACACGTCATCTCATTTTTTTTATCATCATTTTAAGGCAAATACTGATATAACTCAAATTATCGAAGTTTTAACTGATGATGGATATAAGTGGGATTGGTTAATTACACGCTTAGCTTCGTTTTGTGTTGGTAAGATATCAAATCTTATTTATTTGGAATTAAATCTTACTAAAAGAATTTTTTCGTTAAAGATTTACAAATTTATGTTTATAATATTATGTATTAACTTATTAAATAAAAAGAGGGGAGTGTACTCATTTTTGTTAGTAGGAAAGGCGGTGTTGAT